CAACTGCTCAGCTGTGCAGCCTTGAGTTCTTTTGCACCTTCCGAAGGCGGGCTCAGTGTACACAGGCAAAGCCCCGGCTCCCCCTTCCCTCTGCAAGAGTGCACTGCGACGCATTAGGAGCTGCATTGCCTTGTTAATAAACTTCAGTCCAAATGCTTTGGGAGATAATTTGATTTTTAAAGAAAAAGAATAAAAAACACCGAAGCTGAAATATTGCTTTTATAAGCTGCAAGATCAATTCACCATGTGCTTTTTTAATCAACTGAAATATATACATTGAGACAAATCACAGATGATTTAGCGTTCTCCCGTATCACGTTCCTGAGCGCGATTAGTTCCTCGTCATGTTTTTTTTTCCCTCTAATACCGTCTTGTGCTCTGACTTATGGGGGGAAAACTTTCCATGAAAAATGTGTGCCACGTTCCCACTTCTGGCCTTGGCTGTGATTCTCCCCTGCCCTAATTACAATATAAATCAACCGAAAAAAAAAAAAAAGAAAGAAAAAAAAGATGTACAGCGAAGGCGCCTCACTTAGAGAGCCACGGAGATTGATCTGGAAGCGGCGTGTTGTCAAGCGCCCTGTCCACTCCTCACCTTTGCCAGTTCTAACGTGCATCCCCTGGGCCCACGTGTGGTTCTCAAAGGGAAGCAAATGTGGGAGGAAAGGCTGTGGAGGACACCCTGCCCTCTGTCCTCACTGAGCTCGCCCCGCAGCTGACCCACAGAGAACGCCGGGGCTCAGGACTTCTCCCAGCCGTGAACTTCAAACCCACTCCCTCACTGGAGGGAAACGCGCCATAGCTGCTGCACCAGGATAGTCGTGGGAACAGAACCCGTCCTGTCCCTGTTAATCAACGTGCATCGCCGCCACCACGCACGCACAAAGGACCTCTCCAGGTCACGGTGCTATTTTCTTGGAGAGACGTTCCTCACCCGACCTCTAGGACAGTGATGGCGAACCTATGACACGCGTGTCAGAGGTGACACACGAACTCATTTTTTTGGTTGATTTCTGACACGCCGAGCTCAAAAGGCTCGCCATCACTGCTAGGAAGTCTCTAAGGGAGGTTCATTCATGGCTCTGAACACACCAAAGTAAAACACAGCCATGCAATTCAGAAACGGAGCCGACACAACCTCGCGTGGCCCTTCCTCCTTCTCCTTGGAAGGCGTTGGACTTGCTGGGTGTGGGGTTAAGTTCGGAAGCTTGACCTCGCTCCCCACGCCTCTCCAGTGGTCTGACCTGCCCACTCCTCTGCCGTTCAAACAAGCTGCAGCCACGCTGGTCTAACAGATCAAAGAGCTGAAACCGCACGCCTTTTAGATTTCTTTGTGTTGCGTTTACTTGAAAGTCTTTTTGTAACTTGATGGCTTCATTTAAAAAGTGACCTCAGTGACCCCTTCTTGATGGAATGTGACAAAGCCGCTCACACATGTCCAGGGCAGCTGTACACGAACGTGTCTCTACATCCCTCTTAAAAATGGCTCCTCTTTTAGACAAACTCCTGAAAAGTCATATTCTCCTGTCCAGAGGGTCCCTCCTTTTTCTGTTTTCCGAGAGCAGAATGCGCCTGTTGAATAGTCAAGGGCCAAAGATTTCTACTCTCAGCTCAGATGAGGACTGGGAAAGGAATGTAATCATACTTACAAAATAAAGTATATTCCCAGATCTAGAAATGAGCTGGTAATTGAAATGATCATCAGTGTTTTAACTGATGACCATGGAACTCTTTTCTGGCAAACGCCTCATAGAGCATTAATTGCACGTCACATCGCAGATCTGCGGAGTTAACTTCTGTCCTGCCCTTGGGACTGCGAGGTCTAAAGCAACGTTGTGTCTTTCGGGCTACAAAAAAAAAAAAAAATCACTAAACTGTAGAAGTCCTATTTGGTCTGTGAAGTATGTGCCTCATTGTCCTTTCAAATGTCATTCCTGCCCCCTCAAAGCCATCTTACCATCTGCCACGTGTGAACACAACTAGGGAGCATGAATCACCTCTTCTCACCTCCATAGCACCCAAGTCCCTTTCTCAGAACACGCCAGAGAGCTCTTTCCCACAAACAGCAAAACCGAGGTGTTTAGAAAGGGAAGTTGGTCTTGATTTCATTGCCTCTGATCAGTGTTTACAGGGGGACAACCTAGATTTTATTTGTACAGACCTCTATACATTTTAATGGTTTCTTTAAAATAGATCATAATAGTGACCATTAGTAATATAGGAATGGGATGCTTAATTTAGGGACATGAGAATATTTTGCTCTGGTATCCATCAGCAGATGACATTACTGGATATAATATCTGCCTTAGGAAGTTTGCATGAAGCAAAGGAAGAAATGTTGATAAAATTAATGAAAGCTGGCTTTAAAAATGTGACCGTGTGCAAAACTTCACACAAACGCAGAAATGCAAATCTTACTGTTTTAAATGTCATTCATTCCAAAGTGGGTTTCTTCTTTTCCTTAACAATTCATACAGGGCTTGAGTTTGACAGTGGATTTGCTCTTTACCATAAAAAAAAAATATTTCCCCAATCAATACTGGGGAAAAATGATATGAAAGAAATGTCTATTAACTTAGGCAAATGGACTCTGAGCACCTTAGAAACACTCCTAAGTATCAGGTTTGTAAATGTAATGCTAATTTAAGGTTAACAGAATGCAAACCGGCATTTTATTATGCAAATAACATGTCAGTGTAATTAGCTGCTTATGAAAGCAAGCAAGACTCAGCCTAGTTAGATTTCTCAGACAAATTTAAGGTTGAGATTCCTTGCTCCTCCACTTGGCTATCTATTGAATGACAATATAGGCCATTTCTATCCATAGACCCACACACCTCCGATATCAGGAGCTAACGTTTGGTTACTGACAAATGCCTGCAGTAGGAAAACACGAAGAGTAAGTCCAGCAGCCTTGCTCCCATTTGCACGTGGACCCATGCAAGTTACCAGTGCTCAGCATACAAGGAAACCTTGTATGAAATTTTCCCTGTGTTGTCCTTCGCTTCAGGGATCAAGTTCAGTCACATCATTACTCGCATGTGCTGTCTCAGTAATCAAGACAAGTTCTTACAAAGACTAAAACAACACAACGACAAGCACATTTCTAGACCACTCATTGGCTCAATATTCTGTGTATCTAGGACATTCGTATTTCTAATAAGTGGTCCTATCACTTTGGACTCTTCTCTCTGGACATTTTTTCTCATATAACTTTACTGATTCCAATTATGAGATCTTTTAAGAGCAGGATGGAATTTTTATGTCTTTGTTCAGACAGATTTTCAGTATTTTGTTTTTATCTCTTACATAAAATGTCCATTTTTTCCCTTAGAGTTATGTTCCTATTCCTAGAGGAAGGTATTTTATAAATGTCTTTTTTGTAAATAAGTATAGAAGTATTTATATCACCAAGAAATAAATATCAAGATATATCTCACTATATACCTAAGTTGTAATTATCAGTTCAAAGTACTTAGTTTCCATAGGAATGTTTTTTACCTGCTTAAGTATAGCCTTTGTGTCTCTCTTTAGAAAATGTGTTCATGATGGCATTGAGACACCCAGAGGCAGATCTTTTAAGGAATTATTTCACTTCTTGGGTAATTAAAGCAATTTAGCCTTTGGTATAGAGGCTAGGAAAAGCATTTGAGGAATGAGGCATGTAATAATTACCCAGAAAACCACTTATATGTATCATGGCTCAGTTATAACATGCATTTAGAATGGCAGTAGACCAAATCAATATTGAAAACCAGAGCACACATTTATAGTAAACTAGAGGCCCAGTGCAAGAAATTTGTGCACAAGTAGGGTCCCTAAGCCTGACCAGTGATCAGGGCCAATCAGGGCCTTCCAGCTGCCGGCTAGGGCCTCCCTGCCCCAGCTGCCAGCTGCCAGCCGGGGCCTTCCTTCAGTCCGTGCCGCCCCCAGATGGTCAGCGCACATCAGAGTGAGTGATTGAACTCCCGATCTCCCAGTTGAACTCCCAAGTGGATACTGCATATTGGGCTTTTATATATATAGTTAGTTTTAAATATTTAAAAATAAAAGTGAATACTTTTTATATAATGGAATATTTTGAGAAAAAGATTTTGCAATAAGTAAACCTTAAGGCAAGATTATCAAAATTAACCTTGTTCATGTTATTGATTTTGCTCTTGTTTGTGTTTAGAAGAAACATGTGCTTAGAAGAAAGTGGTGGGGATTTCTATATTGCTGCAGGCAGTAGTTATAAATATATATTATATTTTATACGTGCATTTTATTAATTCTGTATATACCTTTGTACATATGCATGTATGTTGTCTCTTTCCTCACATCTGTAATATTAAAAGTGTAATATGCTAATTAGACCAGACATCTTTCTGAACGACCTTCTGGACGAAACCAGAGCTGTGAGGGAAGCCTGGGTCCCAGGTGCCTGATGGCAACCAGAGGGAAGCCAGTACTGGCAGCTGGGTGAAGGAAGGCCTACTCTTGCACAAATTTTGTGCATCAGGCCTCTAGTTGGAATATAAACATGAGGGTGAGGAATTTTTCCTTTTCCCCCATTACTATAAATAAATATATTCATTGAGTGAAATCTTTGTTGAATCAGTCATTGAAGGAATAGGAAGAAAAGCCTAGTGACAGTCATCATAATTTGGCCTTATATAATAACTCAGCTTTCACTCCCTCTGTGTAATATATTATCTAAAAGCTATTGGAATGGGGCAAGACTGATGGGGGTAAAAGAATCTCTAAGGCTACAGAGTATTTTAAGTGTCTCACTTTATTCCTTAACGTTAGTTTGATTTTTAATTTTAAGAATTTCCTAGGTCATAGGGAAAGAACACTCTTCTGTGGTGTTTACACCTTTTGTCTCCTATAAGGATAATGTAATGGAGTTGATTGTTATTTTTGTTGTTTGTATGTTTTCCACGTGTATGATTTCATAATGACGTTCCGTTTTCTTAATTAACGAGTACTTACTGATTTTATTTGTCGCTTCTAAACAG